TATGTCAGTCAAAGGAAAGGAAAGAAAGAAAAATTAGAGCAATGAAAGTTAATATTTACCTGAGAAAGGAGACGTTGAGCCTCTTCAAAGATGGTGGAAGCATCGTTAAGATCGGTGGTATCTTCAATCCCAGCATAGCAACTGTGAAAGGGATCTTCCTTGAGGACCTTGCTCGGATCGGGCATATGTAGAGTGTTAGCATCTTCGAGTGCCTCCTCGGAATAAGATGGTAAAGAAAGGGAGTGACCTGTTGTCATGGCCCCGAGCTCTTCACTCGGGGCGTTCTGATTGGCTTCAAGAGTTTCCACACTCTCCCCTTCGGGTATATCTGTTGAAGGCGGAGGAACGATCTCAATCTCCGGGGACATAGGGACCTTGCCCAAATCCTTCTTTGGGGTTCCCTCACCACGAGATGAGGTCTCTAGTTCAGAGGGCTTGGCAGCCTCGATTGGTCTCCTAGTTCGAGGCACCAACGCCGACTCTTCACCATCATTTCCTTCGTCATCTGGAGAATCGTGGGCCGAATCTGCGTCCACATGAGCAAATTTCATCTGTAGCCTCCGAGTAGGGGTTTTCTTGTCTTGAGGGTCTTTAGGCTTCGAAACCCTCTTCCTTTTGTTATCCTTCCCCGATTTCGGAATCGAAGGCTTGGTCCCTTCCCCAGGCGGGGCTGGCCTCATTTCGAAGACATCTCCGATGCCTGCACAAGTAAATATGAACGAGTCAACGCCACCAATATATTAGAAGTATCAAAAACTTGGGAAGAGAACTTACCATGATGTTTGCCCTCCCACTTACCCCTCAATAATTCACGCCATTTGCGCTCATCATAGGAGGAAGTGGCAGCTAACCTTCAAACCCAGTCCTCGAGGTCAGGGACCGCGTGAGACGCCCAGGCAGTGGCTATGGAAAGAGTAAAGGCATTATGAGGCGTAAAAACTAAGAATGAGTAGATATTGGGGAGAAGAACTCCACTTACGGTTAAAGTTCCATCTCTTTGGGAACGACATTTTGTCCCTGGGGATGACATCCGAGGTCCTTACCCGGACGAACCGGCTCATCTAGCCCCGATCCTTGGCTTCGTCATTACTGGCAAAAAAGGCTTTCTTCGTGCGGCTTTGCAACTTGATAAGCCCTCAAAACAGCTGGGGCCGATACAATCGTATCAGGTGGTTGAGGGTGAATTCCAACCCCTCGGCCTTTTCGGAGAAGTAGCGCAACATGATCACAATGCACCAAAAAGAGGGGTGAATCTGACCGAGGGTGACTTTGTATGTTTTGCAGAAATCGATCACCACCGGATCGAGGGGACCCAGTGTGAAGGGGTAAGTGTAAACACTTAAAAAACCCTCCACCTGGATAGTAATGCTTTCCTCGGAGCTCGGGATCTGAACCACGACCTCGTCTCCCCAACCACAGTCCTTCTTCACATCTTTGAGGTGCTTCTCCGATATCAAACTATGATATCGAGATGCATGCTCGCATCGTCCTGGGACATCGAGGGGATTTTCAATACTAAAGTCCTTCTTAATCACGCAAGGACCGGGGGTGATTTCTTCAAGAGACGACGGCGCCACCGGTTTGGCCGGCTGCGAGGTAGAAGAAGATGACGCTTTATATTTTTTAGGGATCGTTTTGGAAGTTTTAGCCATGATTTTAAGCTAAAGAATATTGGTTGTATCAGAATGTGGTGTTTTTACAAGAACCTGGCATTTTCCGATGCTTAAACAGGCGGTGGAAATAGGTGATTAGAGAAAGAGATGAAGAAGGGAAAGATGTAATAAAAGAGTAAAGTTCTTTACTCAAAGGAATAGCCTCATATTTATAGAAGGGAAACGAAGGTTCGGCGGCGCTAGTGGCCGACCAGTATTGGCATGCGTTTAATGTTTTAAGGAAGCGAACTGACGAGACATTTCAGTCACTTCGGTGCATGTGTCTCAGGGATGACGTCATCGCGATGGACTCCGAAAATTGAGTTTCAAATCGTTTCTTATCATCTTATTCTAAGAAACAGGGGGACTATCTGTATACGGTCATAATCGCATGCCTTCGATTATAGGCTCGAGGGACCGAGTTTGGGCGAGGTCGAGGGACCAGCCCGAGTTCGAAGATAGAGCACGATGCGTACAGAGGCCGGGTATGCTCGACCCCGAAATAGTACCGTTATGAATAAGCTAGATTCTTGCCACATTCCTATGATCATGGCGCAAATCCCCGAATAGGATTGTACGATTCCGTACTAGGCGATTAGACAGCTATACCAAGAACATTCCTTACTGTAAATAGAAATATTCCTTATTTAGGATTCCCCTATTATATAAAGGGGACCCCAATCATTTGTAACATCACAGAATCACTGAAAAAAGAATATACTCTCTACTTTTTGCCTACTATTCATCCGCATTGTCCTTTAGCTCTACTGCTCTTGCTTTACTTTTCTTACTTTATTGCTTTTGACCCGTCTCGAGGTTACTACTGCTAAGTAACATTGGTTTGATTCACTTATCTCTTTCATTTCTACTTCATATTTCTTGATTATTAATTGGTATTGAACTAAATTACATATCTTTAAAACCACAAATCAAATTTAATTGTTACTCGTATTTTCGAGGTAAAGAAGTAAGAGACTCAAGGAAGCACTTTCTGTATTGGTTGCTGACAATCAAGCTGCATTGAAGGGAGATCTCTCATACACAATGTACTAATATGCCATGATCTGTTCAGACACTATAATAGGAAGACTACACCTAGGTGTCTAATGAAAATTGATCTTAAGAAGGCTTATGATATGGTTAGCTGGGATTTTTTAAAAGAGATACTTAGAGGATATGATTTTCCTACACCATTTATAAAGCTCATTATGGTATGTGTACCATCACAATATTTTACTGTCAAGGTTAATGGAGAAGGCTATGGTTATTTTGAAGGAAAAAGAGGCCTCAGACAAGGAGACTCCATGTCTCCTCTTCTCTTTGTGTTGGTTATGGAATATCTGTCAAGAGTTTTGAGGAAAATGGGTGACCTACCTGACTTTCAGTATCATCCTACGTGTAAAAGCACTAAGATAACTCATCTTATTTTTGCAGAAGACTTAGTGTTGTTCTGTAAAGGTAACACAAAATCTATACACAGAATGATGAAAGCTGTCAATCATTTTAGTGTTATCTCAGGTTTAGTGGTCAATCTGGACAAATCACATATATTTTTAGTTGGGATAGAAGAGGATTTGAAGAAGGAAATTTCAGTTACCACTGGTTTTTCCCTTGGCTCATTACCTATGAGGTACCTTGGACTCCCTCTATCTTCAAAGAAGTGGAGCAAAGTAGAATGTCATCAGTTAGTGGAGAAGATCATGACGAGGATCAACACTGGATACTCCAAGCAACTTTCCTGTGCTGGCAGATTGCAGGTCATCAATGTTGTGCTCTTTTCTGTGTATAACTTTTGGGGAGTTATTTTTATGCTTCCTCAAAGTGTGTCTAAAGCAAATTGGTAGGAAGTGTAGGTACTACTTATGGGGTAGCACTGAAGAGCATAGGAAAGTGTCTTTGGTTGCTTGGAAAAAAGTCTGTCAACCAAAGTAAATTGGTGGACTTAATATCAAAGGGTGTAAGCAATGGAATCTGACTTCTGTAGGGAAGCTATTATGCCAATTGGTGACCATAAAGGATGTGCTATGGGTCAAATGGATACATGGTATATATATGAAGACTTGTAGGGACATATGGGCTCATAATCCACCGATGGATTATAGTTGGAATTGGAAGAAGTTGAATGAGCTAAAGGAAAAAATGGCACATTAGTACACAGGCAATATTTATAACCTGACTAGTAGTGGTGCTTACTCTATTTCATGCAGCTACATTGCTATGGCTGAATTGAGTACAAGGTTGCGAGAGGCAGAGTTGATTTGAAATGGGATTGTGCTACCAAGGCAGCGTGTTATGTTATGGTTAGCAAATCAACAAAAACTGCTGACTAAGGAGAGATTGATGAAGTTGCATATCCCTGTCTCAGGAGATACATGCTGTTTTATGTGGGCAGGATGTTCTGGAGACACACCTACTTCTATTTGTAGAGTGCCAATGGATTGCCAACTTAAGAGTTGATCTAGTTACTTGGTCTAGTATCCATATCCCTACAAAGAATGTATCTGAAACATTACAATGGATAAGGGGAAGACATTGGAGACAGTTTCAAAAAGAAGTTGCAGCAACTATTCTTGGTGTTATGATCTATTACACCTGGCAAGCCAGGAATTGGAGGATCTTTAGAAAAATTTGTTTAACCACGGAGTTCTGTGGCAGTCAGATTAAAAAGGAATTGCAGGCTAGGATCAGCACACGAGCAGGTTCAAGGAATGCAAGAAACTGACAAATGTTAGTTAATCGATTTTGTAGTGAGGGCAAATGTATAGTAAACTGTTTGTGTTATTTTTTTTTTGGTCTACTATTACTGATTGACGTATACTAGATGCCTTTAGTATGTACAAACTTTTGATTGTTATGGTAATATTCACAGGTTATTGCCAAAAAATATACTTATAATATATTATCCTATAATTTTATACATACAATAGGTGTAATGTTAAGAACTTCAAACATTAAACTCATAGAAATTAGATCATAAATTCGTCTTTCCGAGAAACGTCTTTAGAAAGGCAATTAATGTATTCCTTATAACCCTCACTTTTAAGGAAATAGTTCAACATAATCGTTATGATTTGAATAGAAAAAAAAAATTTCACAAATATCTCTCATATTTAATTTCAAATTTTTACATATAAAAATATCTTTAACTAAGCGTTTGGACATTGAAAATATAATTTTTGAAAAAAGTAGTATTTTGAATTTTATTGCAATTTTATGAGTGGGAGAAAATTTTCTGAAATATTTTCAAAAACTTGCAAGTTTTATGGAAAAATACATTTTTAAGAATAAAAGTTTTTTTTTTTTTTTTTATGGACAAAGGGCTCCAAATTTTTTTTAACATAAAACTAAAAAACAGATAAGGTTCACTACTGATCCATATCACAGAAGCAAGAAATCCCAAAATCTACATCTTCAACATACAATTCCAAACACTTCCTTTCTTCAATCATTCTTGCCTTAAACATTTTCAGAAACATTCAAAACAGTAGATCCTGATATATATATATATGGCTCATACTGTGGCTTCTATAATTGGTTCTTCTCAAGCTGTGATTGAAAGCAGTCTCCAAATCAGTGGCTCGAGCATCCCCAAAACCAGTAGAATTTCCATGGCAGCTAGACCATGTCTTAGTATTAGAGCTCAGCAGGGATCTGCTCAGGAGACTGAAACCAGTCGCAGAGCTATTTTGGGTATTGTTGCTGTAGGTTTAGTTTCTGGGTCATTTGCTCAATCAGCTTTTGCAGAAGCTAGATCTATCAAGATTGGTGGTGCTCCTCCTCCCTCCGGTGGACTGCGTAAGTCTAATAATGATGCTGCAATTGGATGTTACTTCTTTCTAAATGTGGCAAAATCATTCCACTTTTTAATTAGTAAACCACCTAACACGTTAGAACCTGATTTAATTAAATTTTGATGTAAATTATAAGTGGAATTTATCTTATAGGAAATGACAGGAGAGACTAATATGAGTTGTTTAACATTATATTGCATTTTTTGAAATACTTAATATGGTCCGTAATTTACTTGTTTCAACTTCCAACAATTTTTGGGAACAAATGGTATTGAAAACAAATATTCTTCATTCACAAGTCACACTCAAATCGAGAGGTCAGCAAGTGATCTTGGAGATATCAGATATTAGCTAGGAACTCTTATTAATAGGAGTCATGAAATGCAACATTATTGCTTTAATTGAAGAACATGTTGTCTCCTTATGTGGTTTGGGACAACCCTTGCCTCGTAATATAGCTTCTGAGGATGAGTTAGACTCAAGAATGCAGGGAAATATCATCGAAAATGACAACAGTATTGCAATAATATTATTTGTAAGCAGATACACGAATTGGCTTGAGTCATGCTAGGCTTTGTCCTAAGAAGCTATTTCAGCAATGTGAAATATTTTTCCATGATTAACTAGCCTACCTCTATTTAAGAGGATACATGAATCATCAAAATTTAATATTAAATCCAGCAGGTTCAGAAAATTGGAGAGAAGAATTAATAATAATAGGTAATGATTGTAGGAAGAAAGTAATGATTAGCAAGATGAATTCTCGGTTATGAATTGAGTAAGTATGATGGCTAATCCATAACCTATTTATAGGCAATTAGGGAGGTTGCATGTATGACAAGTATGGAGAGTCTTTTAACACTTGTCCAAATATATTATTCCACCTGGCTTCAATATTAACAAGTGTACCTTGTCTTCCATGCATGAAGACACATGGTAGATTTGCATTGCCACTTGTCAAAGCCCTTCAACACTTGGGTTTAAGACTTCATGCAAGAACCCACTTGGAAATAAATAGGGCACTTTTAAAATAAAAAGACACATGGCTATTAAAATTTTGAAAATACTCCCACAATCCCCACACATTTTCAAAATTTATAGGAGAAGGATAATGGAATGGAAGAATTGACTTGTTGGATTTGCATGCTCCAGATGTAATGAGTTTGGTGTCTTCAGTGAAAGTACAAGAGGGGGGAGGGGGGTGAATTGTTTATTTTAATAGTCGACTAGATGTAATAACGTGATAACAGTAATTGTTTATTTTTATATTTTAATCACTACAAGTTGACTAGTTTTCTAATTAGTCGACTAGATGTAATAACGTGATAACAGTAAGAGTAGAATTTAAGATACAGGAATAAAGTACAGGAATTAAAGACACCAGAATTTTTATACTGGTTCGGATTCAATGTGAATCCTAGTCCAGTCCCCTTGGGTTGCAAGGGAGTTCTCTTTCAGTGAATGAGTTTCTTGGGTACAAAGTGAATGGTGTGGTTTACACCAATGACTCAGTTCCTATATCACTCGTATCTTTTTGATACAATCCCTCACCGGTATTTTTCTTTCTTTCTTCTCTAACTTGTTACACAACAGATCTAGTAGAACTACAATGTTTGTTTGCAGTAGAACAAAGAGAGGGTATTTGGTTCGATCAAAGTATGTATGTTTAAGGCTTAAGGATGTGTATAAATACTTTGTAGGAGGTCGTTTGCTGAAGAGATTTGACAACCCAAGAGATTTGATCCTTGGGAAGAAATTGATTCTTTCCAAGAATAAGGTTATTTGCCGTTGCTCTTCCTTGATGAGAGGGCATTGATAGCTTTCCTTCTATAGATCTTGATAACACGGGTTTACTCCTTAATTGTTGGTCCTTCCGAAAATAGCAGCTTGTCGTTGCTCTTCCTTGATGAGAGGGCGTTGATAACTTTCCTTCTACAGATCTTGATAACGCGGGTTTACTCCTTGATTGTTGGTCCTTCCGAAAATAGCAGCTTGATTGATCATCTTGCAAGATCTTCGATACTTTTTTTCCGCTTCATTCAATCTCTGATTAATTCCCTTTCCCAATCTCTAGTTTGTTGATTGATTCCTTCCTTTTGATTTCTTCAATCTTGAATGCTCTCCTTGAGTTCCTATACCAAAAGCAGTTATATTATTTTTCATCATTAAAACTAAAACCTAACATTCAGGACTATGAACCAAATTTAGACCAATAAAACTTAACTCACAGAATTATTGGTGAAATTTAATATTTCTATGACCCAATAATTCTTAATGTAAGTCAAAGATTTTATCAATCACATTTCGACTCTCGGTAATTTTGCTGTTCAACGCAATTTTGGGCCCAATAGGCCATGCACGTGCCTGGTGATTCATGAGAGCTCTAGAGACTAGGCCAAAATCTTATAGGAGCGGCCTACTCCACTCTCATATAGGTGAATTAAAAATAAAAAGAAAATAAAATAAAAGAAAAAGAAAAAAAAGAAAAATAAAAGTGTATACTGCTTTTAGATACATCATCCATAAGGAATATGAATTCATTAAGAGTTATAATTCAACCTCTCAATTAATAGCAATCAAGCACTCTCTTTTGGTGTTTCAGTGTCAATATTGACTTGTTATTACCCATATAAACCTACTTCATGGAATCTCCAATTACATAGGTTGGGTTACCATCTCTATTGACAACATGTCGGCCTTAACCCTATCTCTTTTGAGGTATGAAGAATTAATTTTCTTCCCACAGGTTTAGTCAGAGAATCAGCCAAATTAACTTCTGACTTCACATAATCAATGAAAATTATTCCATCTCTCAGCAGCTACTTTATGAAGTCATGTCTCAATTTCATGTGTCACTTTTGCAATTATAAGATTTATTCTTCGCAATGCTATTGCCCCTTGACAATCACAATGCATAGACACGGGAGGCAATACATCCTTTATTAAAGGGATATTAACTAAGAAGTTTCTTAGCCATTCAGCCTCAGAACCAGCAAACCCCAAAGCTACAAACTCTGATTCCATAGTCGATCTAGCAATGATCGTCTGTTTAGCTGATTTCCACGATATTGCACCACCACCAAGGGTGAATACATAACCACAAGTGGATTTTGTCTCATCTAAATCATAGATCCAGTTTGCATCAATGTACCCTTCTAAAATAGAAGGAAATCCATTATATAGGATACCATAATTCATGGTTCCTCTCAAATATTTCATGAGTCTAGCTAATGCAGACTAATGCTCGTTGTTGGGATTATAAGTATATCTACTCAGTCTACACAAAACATAGGCTATATCAGGCCTTGTAAAATTCATTAAATGCATCAGACTCACAATAATCTGAGCATATTTAGTCTGAGCAACTAGGTCACCATTATTCCTTTTCAACTGAGAGTTAGCATCAAAAGGAGTGCTCACAGGTGTGACATTAAAATATTCAAACTTCTTAAGAAGATTCTCAACATAATGTTCTTGTGACAACATTATGCCATCTTCACTCCTTATAACTTTAAACTCCCAATATTATATTCACTTTACCCAGATCTTTCATATCAAAATTAGCAGACACAAATAATTTATTACTTTGCATAATGTTTAAACTTGTACCAAATATAAGCATATTATCAACATATAGACATATTATCACATAATCATTGTCTACCACTTTGGTATAAACACATTTATCCACCTCAACTGAAGAAAAATCGTCTCTCAGTAAGACTTGTTCAAATTTCTCATACCATTGCTTAGGAGCTTGATTTAAAGCCATAAAGAGATTTAATTAATTAACAAACTTTATTTTCTTGTCCAGGAATGACACAACTTTCATGTTGAACCATATAAATTTCTTCTTCTAAATTACCATTTTAAAAAGCTGTTTTGACATCCATTTGATAGATAAAATGCTTGTGGAATGAAGCTAAGGCAATTAAAACTCGAATAGAAGAAATTGTAATCACTGATGCAAATGTATTAAAATAAACTATATTTTTTTTTGAGAAAATACTTTTGCTGCTAACCGAGCTTTATATTTATTTAAAGATCCATCAGGATTAAGTTTCTTTTTAAAAATTCATTTACAACCAATAGGCTTTGCACTAGGAGGTAAATCTGTTAAAATCCACAAAATTTTAATAGCCATGTGTCTTTTCATTTTACAAGTGTCCTATTTATTTCCAAGTAGCTTCTTGCATGAAGCCTTAAAGCCAAGTGTTGAAGGGCATTGACAAGTGTCTATGCAAATCTACCATGTGTCTTCATGCACGGGAGACAAGGTACACTTGTTAATATTGAAGCCAACTGGACTAATATTTGGACAAGTGTTAAACCACTCTCCACAAAGAATTGTTTTCTTTCACATGGTATTAGATACATATGTCCAGTCCTGTGTCCTACAGTTCATTACTAAAGAGAATGGTAAAAGATTATGAAAAACTAATATGCTTTATCCACTCAAGTTGGGGATCATTCGGGTTTTTGGCAGCTGGAACTTTGAACTCAGATCAAGCAAGAGACCTGAAGTTACCATTAAAAGATAGATTTTACCTTCAACCATTAACACCAGATCAGGCAGCCCAAAGAGCTAAGGAATCAGCCAAAGACATTATTAATGTCAAGGAATTCATTGACAAGAAGGCTTGGCCTTATGTCCAGAATGACCTTCGTCTCAAGGCCGAATATCTTCGGTATGATCTCAAAACTGTCATATCTGCTAAGCCAAAGGAAGAGAAGAAACAACTTCAGGAACTGTCAGGGAAGCTCTTCATGGCCATTAGCAACGTAAGTTGAGATTTATATTCTTGTTTACATAAAAGGATTTAACTTACATACGCTGAAAATATACATGAATTTTTGCATTAGCTGTGCAATTTAGCTCGTTGTCGTATGCTAGCTGTCTGCCTTTATTTTTTATGTAACTAGTTCCATTTATCATGGACAGTTACACAAAGGCGGATCCATAATTTAAACTCTAAAGGTTCAACTTTCAAGGTCCTTAGCATTGAACCCCTTATAATTTTTAAAGTTATGGATTCACATTTGCTATTTCTGCAAAATTGAACCCATCATTAGCATACCACATCCACCCTTGTAGTTACATGTACTTATCTTTTAGATGACCTTATAATATAAAAATTATATTACATAGGTAACATATAGAAGTTAAACTCTTACATAAATGGCACTCAGATGTTACCTTCATGTTAATAGTGATGATACTCAGATGGATTATTCATGTTTTCAAGTTTTGCTGATATTATTCTTTTTTACATATCCTCAGCTTGACTATGCAGCAAAGACTAAGAACAGCGCGCAAGCCGAGAAGTGTTATGCAGAAACTGTATCTACTCTGAATGATGTTTTGGCCAAGCTTGGCTAGCTAGAATGCAGTCTGTACCATATTTTAAATATCCATATAAGTTAAGAGAATACTTGCTGAATTCAATTCTTATGAGTGATTTTGGAATATGTTCAAAACTAAAACATTTCAGCATTCACACATTTAAGAGCCTCAACGTAAGTCCTGGTATGGGACTAATTTACTTAGCTAAGTTGTGGAGGACTCTAACTAGTTAGATTTTTATTAACTCAAGCATGGTCCATATCGACCATTATTGAGTTGGTTCAGTAATCTCGACAAGTAATCCATTGATGTGAGAGATAAGAATATGATCAAAGTGGGGTTCCAAGAATAGTTGGGATGCTAATTTATATATAGCAACTAGTGAATTTGTCGCGCTTCGCGCGATTATAAAAGTTTATGTGGTGATAATATTCAAATGGTTAACAAAATCAATAAATAGGTTGTGAAGTACTAATTTATAACCTTCAAGTTCTTACAAGTTACATATCATGTATGATTTAGCACAGAAAGGATAAAGATAAAGGAGAATACTTTATTTATTTATTTCATTTGTATAAAGTATTCATAGTGTACTTTGTTAGTTATTTGGTATAACTGTGAAGGAAGTAAAAGAGACAATCTTTTGTTGCTTTGTGTAATTCGGAAGTAATATAAAGAATTAAAGTGAATATATATAATGATTCATTTTCTATTTCACTTGTCTTTAGCTTGCCATAGGAATATGACATTTTCGTAGGTATTATCCTTTCTTCTTCTAACAAATGATTGTTTCAATTCATATATCTATGGTATTTGATAAAAATTATTTTAAGCAAGTTTTGATCCCAGTTACATCTCTATTAATTTTAAGATCTTAACTTTTGGACTTGGATTAATGCTTTTGTTGACATTCTCACAAAAAGTTTCTTCCTTCAAGTGATAGGACCCTTGAGAAGAAAATGTCTGCTTACTTTTGAACTCGTTTTGCTGGCCAAGAAATCAATCTTTTCCATAAATCAAAAGAAAATCTTCTGAAGAAAGAAGCCCGTGGTTGTTTGGGTAAAAATTAAATTATCCAAAGTCAGATTATTTTTAGAAATTCTTATAAATTTCTCTCCAAGAAAATTACTCTTTTTAAAATATTGTCCAAACGCTAATAGAACAGCACAGCAGTGGCGGATCTATGCTTGTAACTATGGTGCACAGGACCCACGGTCTCTCCCCAAACTATGAATTTTAGTGCATATATATGCTGACTTTTAACTTAATGAATCCATCAAAATAGAAGTGTTCCGGTGCACACTGCAGTGATTATTGTATTTACATCTGGCGATTTTAAGTTCACGAACCAATGTTCATTTTGTTTTTAGCTTTTTCTTCTCTTTCTTGGTTTTTTCAAAATTTGCTGTTCATTCCTTTTCTTTTATTTCTTTCGTTTTTTCTCACATGTTGTTATTTTTTTCTTTCTTTTCTTTTTGTCATCTTCCAGGTTACGCATGTTATTCCCTATTGTTTCTTTATTTTCTATTTTCCTTTTTAAATTTTTCAAGTTTGCTATTTCCTTTTATTGAAAATTTAGATTTTATACCTTCTAATAACTTTTCCACTGCCTAGAAGCTGCCAAGGAGAGCACACTTCTGACTGGTACCATTTTTACAATCGGAGAGAAAGTCTCTTGATAGTCTAATCCTTCCTGTTGGTTAAATCCCTTAGCTACAAGTCTAGCCTTAAATCTCTCTATATCACCATTTGCTTTGTATTTTATCTTGTAGACCCATTTACAACCTATTGCTTTCTTTCCTTTGGGCAAAGGTATAATCTCCCATGTCTCA